CCTTATCACATCATCGAGGCGTCTCAAAGAATATATTGTAGAGTGTATTTTGTGGGCGATATGATATAATAACAAATACGAGGTTGGTTAAAAGCGGTAGAACCAGCACCAAAAAGGGAGAAGATGGTTAAATAATTGAAGAAAGTCACGAGCTGTTAGGGGAAATGGGTTCAATTAAAGGAGAATTCACAATTAAATTGAAAGTTGATGTGAAACCGGTGATTCACGCAACATGCGGGGAGCGGGAATCCCAGGTGAATCCCAGGCTAAATGAGACACTGGAGAAAACGGAGCAGTTACAAACTGTGATTAACGTGGCTTGTCTGTGTGGCTGAGCTCTGCACTGCCAGTGATGGAGCCCGTGATGGAGTCTGAGTGGAGAAACCCAATAAAAATCTAAGGATATGTCTAGACTCTGAATATTTAAGAATATAAGAACATAAGAATTAGGAGCAGGAGTCGGCCATTCGGTCCCTCGAGCCTGTGCCCCACCAATCGATAAGATCATGGCTGATCTTCTGACTTAACTCTAATTACCTGCCCTATCCCCATATCCCCTAATCCCTCTATTTTAAAAAAAAATCTATCAGCCTCAGCCTTGAAAATGTTCAAGGACTGAGCATCTACAGCCTTCTGGGGGAGTGAATTTCATAAATTTCATAAATTCACTACCCTCTCTCTGAGTGAAGAAATGTTTCCTCAACTCTGTTCTAAAAGGCTGAGCCTTAATTTTCAGACTGTGACCCCCGGTTATAGATTCTCCCACCAGGGGAAACAGTCCCTCTGTGTCTACTTTATCAGCCCTTTAAGAATCTTATGTGTTTCAATAAGATCTCCCCTAATTCTTCTGTACTCTAGAGAATACAGCCCCAGTTTATTCAGCCTATTCTCATAGCTCAGCATTTAAACAATGCAACAAACTGTTTACAAAGCAGTAATTGGAATCCGGTTGTTAGTCGATCGGCGGATTGCTTTTCCAGGGGTAATAATTCCTTAAAAATAATCGGTCCCTTTAACCCACAACTGTTTGTGGGACGCTGCTGTGCGCAATTGGTTGCCGCTTTTCGCCCGTAAAATGTACAGTCAATTCACTTTACAGTATGTTCTGTGAAGCGCTTTGAGACGTCTCGAGGACGTGATAAGGCGCTGTATCAAATGCAAGGATTGTTATTTATTATTACGAGTGCGGCACATAACTTGTTAGTCAGCTTCCAGTTCAACTATTGGTGGCAAATTGCTATTATTCTTTGCACTGACTTTCAAGCAAGAGATTCAAAATCACACCCTAAGATTGCAACATTGCAGTCCTGTCTGGCTGGTTTTGGTCATTTAATTGAAGCAATTTGTGTATTGAAGCAACTGACAGAACTCTGCGTGTTTGTCAGCGTCTCGAGAGTCAAGCCCATGGAATTTCCATAACCAGAAACACTCACACTGTGCACAATTGGCTGCTGCATTTCGCCCACAAAATATACAGTCAATTCACTTTCCAGAATATTCTGTGAAGCACTTTGAGACGTCTCGAAGACGTGGTAAGGCGCTATATCAAGTGCAAGGATTATTATTATTATTACTCAACCAGGAATGGACAAATGCTAGGGTGAAGATCTAGTGTAGTGCCACTGTTAACTGAACCAACTGCTCTGGTCAAGGTCTCAAAAGACATTCTGTCCATCTGTGACCAGGGCTCCCTCTCCCTCCTCGTCCTCCTCGACCTCTCTGCTGCCTTCGATACTGTGGACCACTCCATCCTCCTCCACCGCTTCTCCTCTCACCTCCACCTTCAAGGTTCTGTCCTTGAATGGTTCAGGTCTTTCCCTTCTCTTTTTGAATCTTTAACATCCACTCGCACAGGAAGATGAGACCTTGGTTTATTGTCTCATCCGAAGAATGATACACGCAACCATCCAGTGCTCTCTGACAGAACCCTTCCACGAATCAAAGGAAATCTCCCATCCTTACCTGGTCTGGTTTACATGTGATTCCAGACCCACATTTTGTGGTTGACTCTTGAAATTGGCCCAATGAAGACACTCATTGCAAAGAGAAGATATACTCCCACCTTCTCAGGTCAACGAGACATGGACAATTACCGATATTAAAATGGTATTGTTGCCTCCAAGGCAAAGTTTATTTAAAGCAATGTACCTTGCAGTGTTTCTGCTAACTTGTCCCTTCAATCAAATGGATAACCCATCAGTCTGATCCATATACATTTTATCAGCAGGCTGGGGATTGGGTATTGCTGTTTAATTGTTTAGAAATTTGCAGGATTCAATAGGGTTCGGATGTGATTAAAGCAGTCTGTTAACATATAGGGGGGAATAGTGAGGCAAAGGCATAATCTACTCTGGATAGGTGCTGGGACTTTGCAATTTGTTTCGGTTCGGTCAGAATGTCGGCTAGAAGCAATGAAGTGGCAATAAAGCTTATGTTGATCCATTTGACTATGGTAACTAATTCACCAACAATTCTCCTTTAACATCCTGTCATTCGAATGCATAATAGGGTCCAAAGGTACTATCTTCATCAATCAAACTGGCTATTGTTTGGCAAAGGGCCCACTGCGTTGTTAGTGTCTTTTCTTTTTCCCCATCAGAATCCCCTTTGCTGACACAGGGGCCGCCTGAGACAAAGTGTTTGTCATGTTTCTCTGTAATACTTGCATGTCTGGACTAGTAAATGAGTCATAAGATATTTGAATTAGTCAACTGTCTGTGAATCTTTCTTTTAGTCACTTTCCCCAATTGATGAAGTCCTGTAGCTCAGTGGTTAGAGCATTCGCCTCGCACGCGAGAGGACCTGGGTTCAATTCCCGGGCAGGGCGAAACCTTGGGCAAGTTTCCTTACTCCACACGCCTGCTTGTCGACCACCCCAACTCTCTCTCCGTAGGCTGCAGATCATCCAGAACTCTGCAGCCCGTCGTGTCCTCTCCCGCACCAGGCTCCACGACCCATCACCCCCATCCTCACCCGACTCCACTGGCTTCCCATCACACGGAGGATACAGTTCAAGATCCTGGTCCTCACTTTCAAAGCCCTCCATGACTTGCTCCCCAATTCCTCTGCCACCTACTAACCCCCTACCAACCTGCCCGCTCCCTCTACTCAACAGGTTCGGGGCTGCTTCATGTACCCCGCCTCGCCCGCCCCACCTTTGGCAGGCGGGCCTTCAGCCACTCTGCCCCACCCTCTGGAACTCCATCCCCCAGTCCCTCCACCTCACCACCTCCTTTGCCAGCTTCAAGACCCATCTCAAGACCCTCCTCTTCGACCGTGCCTTTGGCCAACCTCCTTCCCACCCCCTGCCCTTCACCCTCCCTGATACCAACCCCCAGCTCGGGCCCAAACACTGATTATCCAGCACTTTGGGACGTCCTCCTGACTTGAAAGGCGCTATACAAGTGTAATTTTATTGTTGTTGTTGTTTACCTAGTAGGAACCCAGTTGTTAGTTGACTGGCGAATCGCTTTCCTGGGGTTAATAATCCCTTCAAATAAAATAAATAAAAAAATAAGAATTTGGTCACTCAATCCACGAGTGTTTGTGGGACACTGCTGTGCGCAATTGGCTGCCGCGTTTCGCCCACAAAATACAGTCAATTCACTTTACGGGTGTATCCTGTGAAGCGCTTTGAGACGTTTCAAAGACATGATCGGGGCTATATCAAATGCAAGGATTTTTTAAAAGATAAATTACAGCCTAAAGTGAAACTCAGCCACCCGGGCCAGAATGGTGACAAATTCAATCTCTTATCTAACTGATCGTAGCCAGAGCACCAGCAAGGAAAGGAAGTAAGTACACTGCAACCGTTTGGATGCTCCTGTTCTAATGAGTGAAAAGCCCAATTAGTTTTCCTGCACTTTATTGCCACCCAAAGATCTCTGCGAATAAGTTTAGGTGTGTAGGTATTGGGCAAGGACAGATACAGGATTACTTTAAAGACAGAATACAGGACGGAATCCTGTAGTGTGTATTGGTTAGAGTACTCGCCTCACAAGAAAAAGGACCTGGGTTCAATTCCCGGGCAGGGCGTAACTTCAGACAAGTTTCCTTACTCCACAAGCCTGTTAACCTAACAGTGAGTAGGAACCTGATCCTTAATTCGCTTTCCAGGATAATAATCCCTTCAAAATACAGTAAATATAACTTGGTCACTCAATCTGATGGTCTATGTTTCTAGGGGGACAAAAAGTGGTATTCCAAGTCACATTTGTTCCTTTATTTAAGGAACACTTTTGGGAAGATCAGCAAGTGGCATCCCTCCCCAGATATAATTCATTTTTTTTTTGGTGCAGGAGAGCGTGGATTTGTGTCCCTGGCAAAAGCAAAATTAAAGACACAAATATAACTCAAAGACACTCATTTAGAGGCCTAAAATTTACAAAATGGGATTGGTTGTTCCGGTTAACAAAATGGCAGCACTACTTTCCAGAGTGGAACAAACCATTTGCCTGGAGAGTTGCACCACCTGCTGGTGTTCCTAAAAAGCATTCCTAAAATAAGGAACAGAAGATGATGAATACCAAATATTTTACCCTCTAATAATAATAACCCTTGCATTTGATGTAGCGGCTTATCACGTCGTTAAGACGTCTCTTCATGGAATATACTGTAAAGTGAATTGACTGTATATTGTGTGGGAGATGCGCGGTAATCAATCTGAGTTGTAATCTCAGAACCGAGCAGCTCTATTGAATTTTGGGTGTTTGATGTAAAACGGATTAAAAAAAACACCCTCCTATAATTAATACTGTAAAAGTAGGTTGTAGCGGCTGTCTTCCAGAATTACTACACATCTTGGAATAAGGTGCTAAGTGTTTGAATCAAGTCAAACACCCTTACAACACTCTCCCATTTCATTCGCTATTCTTGATGCAACTATTACTACAATTAACTATATATCTGGTATTAGACGCTACATAAATGTTGAATCAAATTGAACATTAAATGAGGCACCACAACCATTCTTTGAAAGAAATTTCACTGTACAAGTTTTATTTACAGTTTTATTTTTACACTTTTAATATGAATGCTTTTGGGACTGCTTTCCTAAATCAGCCTTTAACAACCCAATGCAAATAGATTCTTCCAAGGAATACACGTTTTGAAATGCAGTGTAACAATACAAAACATAGAGGATTTTAATATATCTTAACATCTCGAGCAAGGAATGTAATTACAATTTTAAAAAAAACATATACTTTTTTTTGGAAGAGAAAAAAATCCACACGATAGTCCAAAAAAGGACTCGTGAACTGAAAAAGCTTATTTAAGTCAAAGTTTCAAATCAAACTTTGTATCTTGTATTAATATATCAAGAGCTGTAAGTAATACACGTGGCAATTTTTTAATACTACCAATTCAATACAATTCCCCCCCCGACCCAAACCACGCATTACATCTCATGAACTAAATTAGCTAAGCTATTACAGAGCTTTTTTTAAAATTTCAAATCAAGAAAAATAAATTAAATCTAACAACCAACATCAAAGCACAGATTATAGCAAGTCTCACTGCTAGCTGTTAAAAACAAAGCCAAGAATCAGAACTAAATTACTAAGCACTATAACATTTAGACACGAGAATCAACCCTTTCCCTTCTAAAATGACTAACAATCCTTCTATAAACCCAGCCCCCGCCCCCAGCATTGTTTTATTTTCTAAACCCTGCCATATTAGTGTAAATGGGGGAACTATTATAACAAAACTTATATCCTTTACATTGGTTTACTTTAAAAGCAATGTCTTTTCCCAGAAAATTTCAGGAGTCAATCGGTTTAATAAAACATTTTGACGGGAAAGGGTTACTTCCACAGAACACTGAGAACAAAGTCAAAAATAGAAAATTGACTGAAAACTTGCAGACTTGTGTGTAATATTAGAATGCAGTCCAATCTGCTTACTAGAAGCTTTGGTTTAGTTCAGATTGCTTTACGTGTCCAGTCTTCTAATGATGAACGAACAACTGGTGCCTTCTCAAACAACATACTTATTCTTGGTCGTTGATCCACTTTTTGTGGCAGTGTCTGTATGCGACTGGTAGCCAATCACTACCTTAGGAGGGAGACCTAATCTTTCCTTATAAATTCTCCTGTTGACAAGAGGAAAAGGACAAAGAAAAGGTTAGTTCAACAAATTCAATACTCAGTCTTTCCTTAATTACCACAAGTTTCCAGATAACAGGAAATCAATTACTTTCAGCAGTGACAGAGCTGATTAAGTTAAAAACAAATTACAATGTTGGGTTGAATGACAGTACGTTCAAAGAACAAGAAAGATGGATACCTAAGCATTTAATTTACTCTCAACCTCTAAATGTGATGAATTTTGCCAATTGTACAGAAACGGGGGCAATTTTATGACTGGATTTTGAGCCTAACTTGAAGCACTTGTTTGCTCAGTGGTCAAATACAACAACAAATTACATTTGTACAGTGCATTTCACGTCCGGAGGAGGTCCCAAGGCGCTGGACATTCAAGGATTTGCACCCAAGCTGGGGGTTGGGATCAGGAGGGGTGGAGGGTGGGGGCAGGAGGGTGACCGAAGGCACGGTCAAAGAGGAAGATCTTGATGAGGGCTATGAAAGGAGGGGGCTGAGGCAAAGGGACTATGGAATGGAGTTCCAAAGAATGAGGGCAGTAAGGCTGAAGATGGGGCAAGCAAGGCGGGGGACGTCTGCTGAGCGGAGGGAGATATGGGGAGAAGCAAGGCCGTGGAGGGTTTTGAAAGCGAAGACGAGGATTCTGAACTCGATCCTCAGAGAGAATGGGGAGCCGGGCGAGGATGAGGCTGATAGGTTCACAGAGTTCAGTGCAGGAGAGGATAAGAGTTGCAGAGTTCTCGATAATCTGCATCTTGTGGAGGTAAGAGTTGGGAAGACAGACTGCTGTGCGTAATTGGCTGCCAAGTTTCGCCCACAAATATCCAGTCAATTCACCTTACACTATATTCTGTGAAGCGCTTTGAGACATCTAGAAGACACGAAAAGCTCTATATCAAATGCAAGGATTATTATATTATTATTATGTGAAAACATCTAATCAAAATGCTAAACTTGCATCTGCAAAGAGGGCGGGGGAAAAAAAAGCACAAAATTCCATTCACGGGGAAGACTTTGCAAACCAGCAGTGTGATGAGGATCACGGGTTGGGAATGTTTTATGCAAGCTGTTATTCACTGCACTCGAAAGTTCTGCTTTGACAACTATATAAAGTCTAAGGGGTATCAAGTGATTCACTTACCCTATATATGTGATAGATTCTCTATTTTCACAATCAGTAGTCCATATAGCTATTTTGTCACCTTTGTTTCTAACATTAACTACTGCACCACATGCGTCATCACTGTGCTCGTCAAATGCTTCTCCTATAAGGCACAGTAGCTGCAGGGGAGTGAAAGGATAAAAACTTAAGTGTAGGTCACATTTTACAACTTTAAAACTGAGTGCCGAGGGAATGGAAAACAGGGGGCCATTGATTAATGATTGGGAGTAGTAACTGTGACTGATTTTCCCCTTCCAAGCTCTGGGTGTAAATGCCACTTGTTGCACTGCCACTATTCCAGGCCAAGTTCAACTAAATAAATTAATAAATAAACTGATACTGAGCCCTTGGGAAGCTGCAGCTGTGTTTTTTTAAACAAATGTTTTGCCACTATTATTGATTTTAAAAAATGTTCTTCTCTTCCCCCAACCCCCACTGTCAAATGGCCACTGTAACGCTTTGGTTTCCAATTGCAGAAAAGACCTAGTTCTGGATCTCGATCTGCATCGGGCGGGCGGGCGGGCGGGGGGTGGGGGGGGGAAGAGAAGAGAGAAGGAATGAGGGGGCTGGAAGGATGAAGAAATAGATCCCAGCGTCTAATTACAAGCAAACTACAGTTAAACAATAAAGAAAAACATATATGATAGAAAATGCACAAGTTTGCACTGAAGCCTGACTTAGATCCAAAATGGATTCTATCGCTTCTTCAGATTCATCATCACAGTTCTATCCTCTAATCATTCGTTTGGTGTGAAAGGTTGATCCTCCTCGCTAATAAAAGAGTCCCAGAGTGTCCGGGTAGCATTGTGTTTGTGCAGTCTCTGGTCTCTGGCTGGCCCAGTCGGGAGAAAAAAACGACAATTTGCCAAGTTAACTCTGAAAGGTTTCAATGCGCCTTCTAGTGGTTAACTACAGCAATACTACTCTTTTTTTCCCTGGAGAACTGTTGCTCGGTTGAACGTGCGTTTCATCCGAAGCACAGCACCTCCGACAGTGCAGCACTGTACTGGAGGATGGTCAAGCCTAGAACATGAGCTCAAAGCAACATCCGAATGTCGTTCATTTTCTGAAAAGGAGGAAAAATACTTACAGTTTCTAACCAAATACGATCCAGATCAGTTTTTCTTTGTTGCTTAGAAAGGGTGAGCAGCCATCTCCCACCACGTTTATTTTTCTCATCCTCCCACATAGGTTCAATACCGTCCTACACAAAGTAGACATTTAAGCACATTCAACCTATTTACAACAAGATTTGAAGAATACTGCAATTATGTCTAAGTTAACGCTCGGTGAATAAAAGCTTAGGATATTATGCATTTATAATCACGGGCTGATTGTATTGCAGGACCCTTGGGAAATGTATTTTACATTGAGAGTTTAAAAATTAATTATATTTTTAAAATATAATCCATGTATCGATATTTATTTTAGCAGGGAAAATGGACAAGTCTAATTATATTTGTTTGGGTGATGTACCAGTGCAAATTAAATTGATCCAAGTTCAAACAAAATCAGAGTGGAAATGTAAGCTGGGTAGTTTGGGACATGTGTGCGTGCGACTGCCAGGAAGGTGGAAGGATAACTAGATGGGACTTTGGTATTTTTTCGTCTTTCGTATCTTATGTTCTTATGTAAGCCTTATTCAGTTCTATGTGTACAAAGTGGCTTTGTCACCTTTGTTTGTAAAGGTCCTAAAATGGCTTTTTGATGCTCAGTGCAGAATTTGAAAAACAGGAGATCTTAAAGTAATTGATTAAGTATTCTCTTTAAACAGTCATTTGTTAGAATTTATTTTTGAATCTAACAGAACAGAAGCATCTTTGTGAATTGAAAAATACTGGTTCTGTGTCAGAAATGGATATATCGCCAATACAGTTGACACCAAATCGGAACTCCGAGGGGAATTAAGAAACAATCAAAAATACAATTGTCTTGCAAAACTGGTTTTATAATCCCAGGTCCTCACAGTAAAGATCAAAATGTTCTGATTTGCACTTCATGAAGTTTACCTCCTTCAAAATCACTACTTATTAAAGAAGCCTAAAATATTTGTTTTAAATGGGAGTTTTTGGTGCAATGGCTTCAACACTATCTCACAGACAATGGGACACAAGGTCAATCTCTGGTGTAGTTGAAATTCACACTTCATTTTTTATGGAACTAGGAATTCAATAAACTTTCCCTCCTCAAATGAGCTTTTCTCAGGCCAAATTTTTCCATTTTTAAATAAACAGCGTAATTTAAAAAAAAAACACTGAAGCATTTATCTTACTTACCTTAAAGAGAGAGTAATCGCAGCCCGATATTAAATTACTGCAGAGTTGTATATGATTGTAAAGTCTGTGAGGTGAAGAAAACATGAGTAGTCAGAATACATGGGGGTAACCATTGCACATTAAAAAATCCATGTCTATTTAAAATTATTTCAACATTTCTTTACACCTCTATTATGAGATTTATACTGAACATTTGACGCAATAAAGCAGTTCCAGTTTTGTAGTGATAGAAGAACTCAGAAAGTTTCAGGATTGTGTGCCATGATCTCAATGCAACCTGGTTACAGTTCAACTGTTTAAAAGCTTTAAAGTCAAGCTCAGGAATACAAAATAGAAAATAGAAATGAGGAACAAAAAGAAACATTCAAAATAACGAACTCTTAATGCAAAGTAGGTAGCCGGACAACAGTTGAAACAAAAGTGTTGAAGGTATATTTTAATTTGTTTCAGGTATTCTAATTGCATGGGGGTAATGATGATATTATTGCTATTTTGTCATGGAAAAACCTTTATTACAATACAAATGTTTTTCCAAAGTCAGCATGGAAGTTGAATGGTCAATTTTGTCAAAAAGAATAAGGATAATTTTAGAAAGTGTGCTATCTGAAGATGTGATATGTCCTTCATTGTATTTGCCCTCCAGGCAATGCAATTTAGCTTAAGAAAGCGAAATGAGAATCGTGTCAATCGTGCCAATCGTGTCAAAATCAAACTGATAAAGATACAACAGCAGAAAACAAGTTCAACCAAAATTACAATTCTAACCAACATTGGAAAACCAATTCTGAATGCCAAAGCATTCTTCACATCCATAAAATTGGTTATAAAGAATAATAACTCAATTTAGTAAATTGAGCTACAGAAGGTTAGAGGGGGGGGGGGGGGGGGGGAGTAAAGAGAAGAACAGCAAAAGAACATGGGCAATGATAGGCAAAGGGTCATTCATTCTGTATTCCTGTTATGCACCGTCAACAGGAAAGTGCCTTCTCGATTCCAGAATGTTGCGCGCTTGCATAAGAGAAACCAAATCAGAAAATATATATTTTTAAACAAATACTCTTCTCACTTATTTTGTGTTTCTACTTACGCCCAAAAGTCTTCCACTGTATCAAATTTGGATATCAGACGCAGATTAGCTTGCCAAGTTTTGTTTTTGTCATTTTTGAAGAACCAAAGTGCCCATCTGTAACCAGAATTGCACAGTATTAGTAACCAATTAAACACAGTTCCATCATTTCAGTACAATAAAGAATGATATTTCTCGAGAAACAAATACATCAGAAAAACTTTCGAAATCTATAACACGTTTTTAAAAATTGTAATAATATTCCTTGTATTTGATATAGTGCCTTATCACATCTTCCACACGTCTAACAGCACTTCACAGAGTGTAATGTAAAGTAAATTGACTGTATTTTTGTGGGCAAAACTCAGCAGCCAATTGCGCACAGTGCCCCACAAACAGTCGTAGATTGAATGATAGGATTACTATTATTATTTTTTTTTGAAGGGATTATTATTAGGCTCTGTGTGGAGTAAGGAAACTTGCCCAAGGTTTGGCCCTCTGCCTGGAATTGAACTCAGGTCTCTCGCTTGCAAAGCGAACGCTCTAACCACTGAGCTACAGGACTCCAATAATTCAGTATTGGCTTTAAAGTAGTCTAAAATGTAAACTTTAGGTAGCAATCTGGCTTGTGTGCTTAATTGCCAGGCGCCATCACTAGTCGGGGAAGTTGCATTAAAAGTTTTTCAAGACTCGTGTGAGGTTTAGCATTGTTGGGATTTGGATTCTGTTTTGTATTCTCCTAAACTGAAGCTTAGATGGGTATAATTTTTTTGAACCTCAACCTAAAGTGATATACATTTATGTTTTCCAAACATAAGGGCTGGCTGGTTATCTTGTCAAATATAATTAAAGCTGAACAACCAGTGAGTTTATACTTTGAATCAAATTTAGTACAGAGCTATCTGTCCTGTTATTTTGTGTACCTCATATATTCAGGTGTACTAATTGTACTTTTTCTCAAATTTGCATCTGCAGGAATGCTTCAAAGGGAGCTGGTCAACTCACAAGCTTCTTCATAAAAACGCTAGTAAGTATTATTTTTAAAACCAAAACATTTAATTGTTTCTTTTAAACGATGAGCTTGTACCAAGCTGATCTTCAGATTGCACAGCCTGGGAAATTAGGCAATTAGGTGGTGGTACACAGTGATTTTTGTCTCAGGGATGTGCATTTAAATTGTGTACGAACTCTCCTTACAAGAAAGCTCCCATTTGAAATTGGTTTATTCAGTCTCATCCAAAATGATGGATCTTGATCTATACAGATTGGTAATCGCATTCAGAGATGAAAAGCTAGCCCAGCATAGATCACTCAATTCAGCCCAAGCTGGAAATTGAGCCTACGACCTATCAGTATGGTTTAAATAGCAGTTTCACTGTAGATGGGACTTTACCAACTGAGCTGTTAAATGAACTCTGATAAAGGAGTAACCCTATTTTAGTAATGTGTAAACAACACACCAAGACCAGTGCCAAGAAAACCCAAAACTTCACAGATTGGGCAACTAAGGCCTCGGGAGTCGATCAGTAAAAAAAAAATTGTCTGAGGAGAGTGCAGGAGATGGCGCTTGTTATCTTATACTCTACATACACAGCAGTGAGATCATTTGCCAAGTCTCGGGTTGCTAACGATTCACAGTTGCCTGTCTAGAGAGTTGCAGAAAAAAGCTCAGAAGATTTGTCTTCTTAATGTAGGATGACTTCAGTGTTCAAAACGCCAGAGCAAAATGTGAGCTTTTAGCATTGGAATTTGATTGTCTAAGAACAATAGTCCAAATTAAATAGGTTGTATTAGATTTGTTCAACCAATGAATTTCGGACAGTAAAACAGTACAATGAAGAGTAAGTGAATCAGAAGTACCCAAGTTGTGTGTTCAAGCCCCACATCGGGGACTTGAAACCCATATAGTCTAGTCAAGGCTGAGGCTCCAGTGCAGTGCTGGAAGAGCGCTGCATCATTGGATATGCCTCCCTTCAGATGAAATGTTAAACCGAGACCTCCTCTGCCTGTTCAGCTGGGTGTTCAAGATATCATGGCACTATTTGAAAAGAGAAGGGGTTTCTTCTGGTGTTCTGGCCGACAATCCCCCCAAATAAAATTGGTCATTCAATTCATGGCTGTTTTGGGGACATTGCTGTGTGCAAGTTGGCTGCCACATTCGCCCACAGAACATACAGTCATTGCACTTTAGAGTATATTATGCGAAGCACTTTGGGACATTGTCCTGACGTGAAAGGTGCTATACCAAATATACAGTATTATTATTATCAAATACTTTAACAAGATTGTGAACTGATTTTTTTTGTTATTGCAGAAAATGAAAAACCTAAAGAAGAAAATTCTAAGTCTATTAAGGATGAAATTAATATGGATCCTTGGCCTGGCTATCGATACACAGGCAAACTTAGGCCATATTACCCATTGGTAAGTGAAGTACTGTCTGCATATACTCTGACAAAGCAAGCAAATGCATAACATCATCACCTATTTTGAAATAATACATAAGGCTTTGGATACTTGGAGCTTGTTATATGTTAAAATTTTATGGTTAACAAAAATAAACATTTATTTTTTGAAACGAATAACTGATGATGGTACAGAAACAACAGCAACTTACATTTATATAGCGCCCTTCACGCGAATACCTTATTCGCAATGTAGTGTCCCGGAGAGCTTTACTGTGGCGGAGTCTGACAACGAGCCAGAGGGAGGAGTAGGTGTCCGTAAGCACAATCAAAAAGGAAGGTCTTTAAGCGGGATTTGAAGGTGGGGAGTGAGGCGCAAAGCGGAGGGATTGAGAAGAGAGTTCTAGAGTTTCGGGGCATAATGGTTGAAGGCATGGCCACAGATGGTGGAATGGAGGTCACAAGGGACAAATAGGAGGCCAGAGCCAGTCGAGCGGAGGAATTGGGTGGTGGATTGGGGGATAAGTAGGTGAGAAAGGTAAGGAGGTGCAAGGGAATGTAGTCCCAGTAATGTGGGTGAGGTAGAAGAGGCGGTGGAGGAGGATGACATGATCGACTCTGTCGAACGCAGTGGAGAGGTTCAGGAGGACGAGGAGGCAGAGGGAGCCCTGGTCAGGGAGAGAGAGAGGATGACGTTTGTTACTTTTGACGAGGACTGTCTCTGTGGTGTGGGCTGGGCATAAACTGACCTGGAGGGGTTCGAGTAGGCGAGGTATGAACAAAGTTGGTTTGCAGCAATGTGTTTCAGGACTTTGGCCAGGAGGGTCAGGTTTGAAATGGGACAGCAGTGAGGTTGAAGGGATCGAGAGTGGTTTTTTTTTAAGGAGGGGGCTTGATGTCAGCTGTTTTGAATGGGTGTGGGATGGAGCCTGAGGAGAGGGACTAATTCTATCATGTCTGCCAGCAGTGGGAAGAGGAGGTGGAGTTGAGCGACCAGCAGCTGGCTGGGGAGAAAGGTCGAGGCAGCAGGTGGTGGGTTTCATCTGGGTGATGGAAGATGAGAGGGAGGAAGGAGAGATGGGGTCAAAGGAGTGTAGGTTGGGGCCCGTGATAGGAGGAGCCGTGGGAGGAGGATTGGGTAACGGATAAGGAATGGGGGTGGTGTTGGGGTACATGGGGCAGGAGGAGGAGGTGGCCAGGCTGATTTTATCTAGCTTGGAGATAAATAAATCCCAAGTCCTCTTTGCACTTGGCATTTGATGTTAGGATTGCGGGTACTCGATGGGGCACGCAGAGGAGATTGTGGGCGGTGGAGAACAGGATGTCGTTGGTGTTTTTGGCCTCCGGAATGACCTGCGAAAAGAATGCAGTTTTGGTTTGCGAGAGGGAGCAGTGGTAGCTGGCGGTGAACCGTGAGGCTGGGTTTGTACCATCTGCACTCGAGCAGTCAGGTTTGGGATTTGAGGGAGTGGAGATGACCATTGTACCAGAAAACGTATCTCAGCATTTTATTGTTATCAGTGGAGTTGGGGGTGGCTGATGGTCTGTTTGATGACCTTATTCCATCAGTTCTGAACCTGCCTGTTAGGTGGTGGTTGCACCTATAGAACAGGGCTTTCTGTTGTTATCATTCTGTTGGTATCACCTTGAGCAACGTCAACAACAATTCACCTTCAATGTAGTGCTTTTCACTTTGGGATGTCATCTAAAAGTGCTTCACACAACTAACTGGGAGCTGAAACTGAGGGGGTGGGGGGGGGGAGATAGAAGGTGACTGAAAGAATGGTTGTAAAGGTGAGCCTTAAGGCAGGCATTAAGAGTGGAGAGAGAGAGAGAGAGAAGTGGAGGCAGAGTGGCTCTGAGATAGTGTTGCAGAGGTAGCGGGCAGAATGGGGAATGCTTGATCGATGAGGCAGATTGGGCAGAGGACGTGAAGCGGGCTGCTGCTGAGCGGAGGGAGCGGTCAGGGCAGTAGGGCTGTGGGACGTCACAGAGAGAGTGTGGGGTGAGGCCATGGAAGGATCTTGAATATTGCTCAGCAGGAAGATTTGAGCGATATGCTGTTTATTTCATTCTGGTCACGGCTGGTTTTACTATCTGTCATGATTTCATGTACAGTGAAATTCTGTTAATTGAATTCTCATTTTGACAGCAGAAATTATTCAATATAACCCGACTAAACATAGCAGGCGACTTATCTCCTGGAGCTCTAAATTCTATTGAACAAACCGAACTGTTCAATTATCCGATATTCCGTTAACTGAATTTCACTGTATTTTCAGTAATAAACTGTTGAATAGCTGAGTATAAAAGGTGAATCAGATTATTCTTGACAGGAGAAGTGGATTTTTAGCTTAGAATTTAAACGTAACTGTCTGCTTGTAGGAAATTATAACAGACCTTATTTTTTTTCCTTTAGAGTCCCATGAGGCTTGTGCCAAGTTATGTCCAGTGGCCTGATTATGCAGATCATCCATTAGGTAACCTACCATTTGCCATCACATGATACATTTTCACAGACAATCACTTGTGTTGAACAAAATATTATATATGCATGAGGCGCTAAAATTAGAAATGTGGCTGCTGATAATTCACAGGATTGATTTTATCATTCATTTCTGTGTCAGTGAGTACTAATGCACGTTTCATGCGCTGTGGGAAACGGGTTAAGTGGTGAGTTCCCTATCTCTCTGTCAGAGCATTGCACACTATGTCACAGATGATTTCCCACTGGCTTTTGAATGTCATGTCTACCCAAGCCACCTTGTGTATCTTCTTTGTCAGGTATAACACTGTCAGCAGCCTCGACAGCCTCTCCCCCCACCCCCGGCTCCGCTTTTTTTCAACTAGTGCTAAGTTGCATGTGACATGGAAAAAAAGGAATTTTAAAAATATTGAAACTTTTTAAAAGTGTATTCATATTATTCTTTGATCCTTTAAGGTGTGTCTGAATCCGAGCAGTCCTTAAAGGGGACGTCGCAGATCAAAGTTCTGCCAGCGGAAGACATAGACGCAATGCGGCTAGTATGCAGAGTGAGATTCAAGTTTGGTTCATTTTTATTGTTTCTGCCGTCTATCACTGTGTTTGTCTTGGAAGAAAACCGGATTTACATCCCACTGTGACTGCTGGAATCTGTAACGAGTCACTAATCCTCTACAGACCAGTGTACATTAATTAAATGTGTGTGTCAGCCGTGCTCACTTGATAGCACTCTTGATTCAAGATTGTGGGGGTTCAAACCCCAAGTCGGGACTTGGAATTCATAATAGACTGGGGATGGTGGAGTGGGGTGGATGGGGGCCATGAACAGGTTGCTGAGTTTCTCCCAGTGTGCTGGCCAACCATCTCCCAAATAAGATGGTTCGTTCGCTTCAAGGCTGTTGGTAAGCATTGCTGAGCACAAATTGGCAAATTGCACACATTATACACTGTCAATCCACTTTACAGTATGTCCTGTGAAGCGCTTTTGAGACTTCGCCACAATGTGATAACATCCTGTCGTTAGAGCACTCGCCTTTGCAAGCGAGAGACCTGGGTTTGATTCCTGCCAAGGCGAAATGTTGGGCAAGTTTCCTTACCCCACAAGCCTCTGTTTACTTAGCGCTAAGTAGGAATCCGGTTGTTAGTCAATTGGCAGATCGCTTTTGCGGGGGGTAATAATTCCTTTTTAAAAAAAATTGTCACTTCAATCCACAACTGTTTGTGAGACACTGCTGTGTGCCATTGGCTGCTGTGTTTCGCCCACAAAATATACAGTGAATTTACTTTACAGTATATTCTGTGAAGCATTTTGAGGCGTCCTGAAGACGTGATAAGGCACAATATCAAATGCAAGGATTATTATTATATTTCATTATATATCCAATGCAAGGAATATTATATATAATTATAACTAATGTTTGAACCGTGCAAAGAGTTACCGTTCCTCTGATAAAACAATATGGCTTATAAAGTGGCTGAAATATGTCAGTTCAGGGATGTTTTTAGAGGGAGTATGTCATTTAGCAGCTCTTTTGGACGCCTATATTTCACAACATTCACTAGCCAAGTGGACAGCTGTTTTTCCTGAGTTGGGTGCTGTGTGGTGTGTGAGAGTATAGCCTGTGGTAATTCACCTTCTTATTTAAAAGCAAGCATTCTGTAGGGACATGATGTAGGAACTATCCTGTCCATTTTGCCCCCCGACTCTTTCTCAATTCTGTTTTATTGGTCATATATAGCTATTCATAAATATTAAATCGAAATAAAACTTGAGAAAACCCATCTATATTTTAGTAAAGAGAACATTGAAACTGCTGCATTCTATGACGATTGAAGCACCATTTTTCTACCTTTGCTGTGGTTCATGTTGTTTAAATTTACAATGTGTGTTTTTTTTAAACTTAACTTATTTCTTTTCCAGCTTGCCAGGGAAGTATTAGATGTGGCTTCAATGATGGTGAGGCCAGGGGTCACAACAGAAGAGATTGATCATGCCGTTCATCTGGTAAGAACTGTTCCTTTTTTTTTTGCTTTCTTAAAAAAAATCTGAAACACAAGTACATCTGTGGAGGAAGTAATTTGGGATGAGCATGTTGTTAGCCTCGGCTTAGTAATTTACAAGTTCAGGATAGTTGCTGCGCTGGAACACTGCACTGCATGGAGGACGCTGTATAAATGCAACTTGTTGTTTTCGAAGTTGTTGTAGTCTGCAGTCTATGCAGGGAAGAAAGACCTAGAGAATCCCTCAAGCAGACCCAGAGCCGTTGGCACGCGCAGACATCTTGGCGGCTTAGGGGTAGAGATCAAGTAGTGGTGGAGGGGTGCAATATTGCAGAGGTGAGGGGAAACTGAGTGAAAGCGAGTATGCTTGTGGGGTTGTAACAGTACATCAAGGAGTCAGAACGGGCTCCGCAAGTTAGAGATGTGCATCCACGAAGGTTGAAGTAAGACTTGCGACTGGGGCAATAGGTTTTGTAATCTGTAATTACATATCGGAAACGGTAATTTATATATTTTTTAAATGGCTGTGCAGTTAATCCGATTTTTTTTTTTCTGTCCAGGCATGCTTAGCAAGGAACTGTTATCCCTCCCCGTTGAATTATTACAATTTTCCAAAGTCCTGCTGTACGTCGGTGAATGAGGTGATCTGCCACGGCATCCCGGATGTGCGGCCCTTGCAGGAAGGCGACATTGTTAATGGTAATAAAGAAATACAATAAATGAAGAAAAACGGTCTTTCCGGTTTGCTCTGAGTATGTTAGATGTTAAAAGACTACTAGCAAAGTATTTGTCCTGTCAACCAGAAAGTACGGGTCGTGACCATGAACAGTATTGTAAAGTAGTGAAAAAAACTACTACTATTGATTTATCACATCAAAATATCACAAAGCTTCACAGCGTTTAGTGTAAAGTTTAATGACTTGTTTATAGGCAGTGAAGCAACCAATCTGCGCACGGCTATTTCCCACAAACAGCCATGAATAAAAGACCCATTTGTTTCTGGGGAATTATTGCTAGAACACCAGCAGAACTCCCTTCTCTTTTCACATAGTGCCATGGAATTTTTGTTGTCCATCTGAACATCCAGACAGCACCCCAGTCTATCATCTCATCCGAAGGTCAGCACTTCCAACGATGCAGCACATCATTGGAGTATCAGCCGAGACTATAGGCTGAAAGCCTGATGTGGGGCTTGAGAGAAAGGTGGAATTCGGCAATTTAATATATTGCAACACGATTGCAGATTATTATTCCCAATTAAGACCAAAATAATCTGGTTTTGATTGGGTGAAGAGTTCACCAGAGAACAGAGTTTTCTATTAAAAAAAATCCTCTCTGCTGTTTGGCATGGATTGCTTTGCCAAATTACTGCAACTTGACTCGCTAAACACTAAACAGACAGCATGATTTTGTTCCATTTACTGGGGGCTGTTCGTTTCATTTTCTTTTGAATTGTACGGTTGATGTGGCTTTATCAACCATGGCAGCAAAGACCAAGCAATCTATAAAGCCATCATGCTAAAAATCTAGTGGTGATTTAATATAAACCCAGGCAAGTCATAATTGTGTATATTTGAAGCAATTGTTCTGGAAGAATATTGTAAGATAGTTAAATCATTATTGAAGTATTTAAGTATGTCATGTCTGAGTCAGAAGATGGTGGCGTCGAGCTCTGTTTTGGGGCTAGTTTAAAATGGCACTGAAATGCAATGCTGGGGCTGTGCTGCATTGTCGGAGATACTATCCTTCGGATGAGATGTTAATCCGAGATCCCGTCTGCCTGTTTGGGTTTGATGTTGAAGATCTCCTTGGGACTATTTGAAGAGAGAAGGGATTTTCTCCCAGTGTCCTGGCCAACAATCGGCCAAATAAAATTGAACATTCGCGCCATGACTGTGGGACATTGCTCTGTGTAATTAGCTGCCGTATTTCACCTACAAAATACAGAGTCGCTGCACTTTACCGTATATCTTGTGAAGCGCTTTGGGATGTCCTCTTGACCTACAAGGTATTATACTAAATGTATAAATGAATCCGATATTAAATGTCTCTGAATTATACTACAAATCACCTTTTATTCAGATTAACTCATTTCTCAAATGGCATTATTACGTAGTTTGACAGAAGTGGCAAATACATTGTTGCAGAATTTTAAATCATCGCTGTATGTTCTGACTGAAGCCTTATCTTTCTACCTAACAAGGTTCGTACAGTTCGTACAACCCTTGTACACTAACAGGAGCTCTTACTCTTGCAGTCTCTCTCTTAAGTGCCCTAAACTTACCACAACCAGAGCATTACTTTTTCAAACGATAAAACATTATGTCTGAAACTCTGCTTTCTTTGATTACAGTGGATATTACAGTTTACCGAAATGGTTTTCATGGTGATTTAAATGAGACCTTTTTTGTCGGAGAAATCGATGAAGGAGCAAAGAAACTGGTTCAGACAACATTTGAATGCCTTATGCATGCTATTGATTCAGGTGAGTGGGCCTTGAGTGCCAAGTACATAACTAGAATGCAGTTAGCTTGACTATTTTTAAAAAAATTATACTGTTTCTCCCCCCGTGTTTGATTTGCCACTGATATGAAAGAGAAAGATTGTGATATCATTGAAACAATGCTCCATTTCATATGTTCTTACACCTGCGGAATGAGATAAATTGTTCATCCAGACTGTTCTGGGATCAGTTAGTAAATTGCAAATTGTGTTCTTTTGCCCTGACAATTCAGTTAACTCAAAACTGAACAGAATTATTATTATTGTTGTACAAAAATCTTATCAGTGTAAAAGATCAGTAAATTGTGCTTTATTACAGACTTAATAAGTGGAGTGCTGTTATTATTCACTCTACTTTTATGAAAGATATTGACATAATTCCAAAGATAGTTGGGAAGTGCTGCAGACTTTACCCCACTACAACAATGCGCCCACATAACAAAGTCCCATTATCCTGCTGCTTCTATTTGTCACTGCATCCTGAGTGGCAATGCATATTATATATTATATTATATTATATACATATATTGGGCCTGGGTATTGATGTATTAAAGTGAACTAGCTTTAGTTCACTTTTTGGTAATCTTGTTAAAGTGAAACAATTGGAATAACTTGTTGGGTTAAATATTACTCTTTGCAGTAAAGCCAGGTATTCGGTACAGGGAGTTGGGGAATATCATTCAGAAGCACGCACACGCAAATGGATTTTCAGTTGTCCGAAGTTATTGTGGCCATGGGATCCACCGACTTTTCCACACTGCACCTAATGTGCCACATTACGCAAGTAAGCAACCCGTTTCAAAACCTATACAGATGAAATGAAGTTTAATGATTTATAGCACCCTCCAATGTTTTTTTCGTCTCAATCTAAAAATAAGTGTTACATTCAGTGATTGTATGTCCGCAAACAGCATTTTTTGTGTATTAGTCTTGATCATGTCTCATTATCAATAATTCCATGTCACCTATCAACTATAACAGCCGTTAGCTCAGCTTTGTTTTTTTTCCTTCTTTAGAAGCCATTCCCAGGCTTAGAGCTTTAATGCTTCTGAATGTATGGTCTGAGTATGATCTGTTGTCGCTCCATTTTTCTCCATATGGTGCCTAATCTCAGTGCACCAGCTCCCCTCTGAGCATTGGACTAGGTGGCTGACATGTCACCTGGTGTCCACTATAGGTCCACCACCATACAGCAAGGCAGTGTTTGTTCAGTAGGTGCTGAGCAAATCTTGAGAGTTGAGACGACTGCAGGAAGGATTCACCTGGAGTCTGTGTTTGTGAACACTCACTCATATCCAGGTGTCCCCTTGGAATGTGGAAACAGCAGCTGCTGCTCAAAACTCCGCAATTCCAACTAGTCAAATCATCGTCTGATGTTCAAGGATGTGTGCCTGAGCTGTGGGCAGGAGAATAGCAGCAATGCTGTCACACATTTCAGGAAGTTTGCAGGGAGTTTGATAGCCTGTTTTTTTTTTTAACTTCCCTTTTTGAGACTGTCGTAGTTCATATGCTTGACAACGGAATGCCAGAATCAAGGCAACCCTCTTTGGCGGTTTTGGTAGTCCATTTCCTAAGCCTAATCCTGTCCATAATTTGCTGTGTTTCTCCAGTGATGGAGTGCGCATTCCATTCCAGAAATGGGAAATTTGCATGTAATGGGAGCCCACGTATGTGGATTTCTGTCTGACTGGATACAAACCAACACAGATCAGGAGCTCACAATGTTGTCTTCCTCTGTGGTATATTTTGGTCTTGGACGTTTCTGTTTGGCGTTCTACTTCTTTGGGCGGTTTGACGATGTAATGAAAAATTCAGTGATTTGCGCCTAATAGGGTGTACTCTTCCTGCCACATTTCTTTCTTTATAGAAAATAAAGCTGTTGGAGTGATGAAGGCAGGTCACATCTTTACAATTGAACCTATGATTTGTGAAGGTAAGATACAAATTGCATGTTTTACAGAATTCAGTTAACGTGTACAGTCAGGAAGGCCAGTGGAAATCTAGAGAGGTCTGCTTTTGAATGTTTGTCAGGTTAAATGAAACATGTAAAGCCAACACAGTTTCACTTTGTACAATGAAATATTAACCCGATTAGCCTGAATGTTCTCACTAAGTGAGAACACACTCACTAACTCGTGGCAGCATCAGGAGGTGAAATAATAGCAATAATCATTTGATGTAGCGCCTTATCACGTCTTCGAGACGTCTCAAAACGCTTCACAGCAAAACACTCTAAAGTGAACTGACTGTGTATTTTATGGGCGAAAAGACAGGAGAATCAAATGGTCCTTGTGAAATAGTACAGAAATGATCCAAGTAGGTAGTGGGTTGAACGGCTATGAGGAAGTGACTTGAGTGTTTATTTTAACTACAGGAGCGTGGCACGATGAGACCTGGCCAGATGGTTGGACTGCTGTAACTAAAGATGGCAAGCGTTCCGCACAATTTGAGCACACCCTGCTGGTCACAGAGACTGGCTGTGAAATCTTGACGCGACGCCTGGAGGATGATGGCCGTCCTTATTTTGCGACACAGTTGTAAAGCTGCCGCCTGGCTGGCGATTCCAGGGAAAGCTTTTAGCAATGTCCGAAATGCACTCTTCACCTGCAAGTTCAATAAATGCCTAAGGTCACCGATTATATTTTTGGTTTGATGGATGCTGCAAAGCATTGGATGCACAGTCTGTACGCAATATCTCTTCTCGTTTCTTCCTCCAGAGTGCCTCTGGTCATAATGGCATTCTTACTGCTTCTATCTTAATGTTTCTCATAGAATTACACGTGTGGCTTCTATATAGATTGTGGGATGTTGGAAAGTGTGTTACTAGCTGCTGTCGTATTAGCTGGTAAATTTCCTGCAAGATTTCTTGTTTTGGACATGTCTACAAAGGATGGACACTACTGAGTCAAAAGAAACACCATTTACAAACACATCTGGTCAGAGATTCTTCCCTAATCTGAAATTACTTCAAAATACTGATTGTTCGGGTGATTTTACTCATACCACTAATGGAAAAATATTGAAGATGGGTAGTACATCTTTTTTGGTCAAAATTGAAATGACAATTTTCTCTTTGTACTTTGATCAGACAAAGTTAAGTTTTTTTTTAAAAAAAAGACCTCAGTAAATTTCTATTTTTTCTGATAAACGTTTTAAGTGCTGGTCATATTGTTGATGATAAACTGTTGTATTTTGTATTGTTTCAACTTTGTTTTTAGTGATGACCATACAAAATCTGAAATTCATCTTAAAGACGATTACTTAAATTGCCAGTTATGCTGCCAGTTTTACTGTGGAATAAAACTGAATATAAATCCACTAATCTTACACACCATGAAAAATTTCACTGGTGCCCATGCAATATAAAAGGTGGTCATAATGAAATGAAAATGGATTAGAAATAAGCAAATTTCCTGAACTTTTTTCATATAAAAGTAAACAATGCACATTGTAGAACAGCAGGTTGAGAAATAGGTTGGTTGTCCTGTGTAGTTGATCAGTTTCCTATTGTAACTGGAGTAAAACTGAATATCAAGATTTCAGAGAGTTTTTCATCTTGCATTGTTTTTATTTTTAAAAAGATGAAAGAATGATCAGGCACTGGTTCTGTACATTCTTGGAATTTCCTGGCCACGGTTTTATAGTCGGAAAACTTTCATGGTTGACCTGAAATAGTATGTTCCTGATTCACAACTAGTTATGTAGTACAGCGACACTATTTNAAAAAAAGAAAGAAGGACAGGGCGCGCCTGGTATAAAAAGGACTGGAGATTGCTGTAAATGTCTGCTGGCTCCAGTCCTCCAGGAACAGCCTGAGCAAGAAAGGTTTTCGGTATTTCTCTTGCAGCAACGAATTGTCTTAAATTATTTAGTGATCCATGTGCTCAAGTCACATCACTGGTTATTGGAGTGAGTTCACGTCTAACGTGTTGCACACATTTTTTCTGGTATTGTGCTAATATTATAGAGATAGTAAATATGACTTTTTATGCTGAATATCGCCAACTCCTGTTGGGATTTAGGTGGATGAGCTACCCCCTTCCGCATTCCCCCCCACCCCCCCACCACCATCTAACCAAGGTGTGCTGAGGCCCTTATCTGACACCTACTGCTGCCCCAAGCTGTAATCGGTGAGCTCAGCGCAGGACTAATACTTTATCCTGTTTGTAATCTTAGTAAACTGAAAAATAACTGGCAAATGTTTTGTCATCCGCACACATTTTTCCTCCCCAGCTGCACAGTGCTCAGCTGGCCAGTGAAGAATATTTCTCCTCCTACTTTGCCTCAGGACAAGGTTGAGGAAAATTGCACCTTTGTGGATTGAGAGTGGTAGTAAACGAAAACCATTGCGTAAGGTTTTCACACAGACCTGTAGCTGTTTTTTGTTTCCGGTCCTTAATAGCTAAATCCTGGGTCGCTATAAGATTATAAATCCACCTAAATAATTTAAGAAAGCACGGATTGAGAAAAGGCCATTTGGTCCTTCAACCGATGACTTAAAGCCTATTCGGGGTGGACTCGACACTATCCTGGAAGAAAGCCTTTGGAGATAATCAAGTGAAGACTCAACATAGACATTCTCTTCCTTCCCAAGGGCCCCCAGTCAGCAACCAGGGAGCATTGTGTGTGGCAGAGTATCTCTTTCTCTTATGTGTGCCTATTCCCCATAATTTACATTGCTCTTCCTAAATTGACACTTATCTAGTTTTTTTTCCACAAATAGTGTGGTGGGATCAAGTGCTTTTATGAGGAATCCACCCCAGAAATCAAACCATTCGATGAGAAAAGGTGTTGTCTTTTGTTTTGATCCCGGTTCATTTTAAACTGATGTGCCCTTATTCTGTATTCTTGAATCAAATAGCCCAAATTCCACCTCCATGTGTGCCTCTCAGTACACCTGGATCTAGTCTCTCGCCCTCAATGTTTCCTTTGTTTGGGTCTATTGGCCTCTTATACCTGATGGTGCTCAGCACCAGATTCATCGTTGTTAATTTTTCCTTTACCCTTTAACACTTCAATTTTTTTTAAAAAAAAGATAAGGTACCCAAACCTACAGTAATGTACAAAATATTCTAAATGTGACCTTAGCGGTGATCTGTATTAGATTAGGATCATTTATTGACTAAGGCCAATGCCTTGGCGATACTACTTGATGTTTGACTAGCTTTAATAGCTTGCCATTCATTGCCTGGTAACTTTTCAGTAAATGATCACCTTCAAACATTTTGATGTATGTTTGTATAATGTACATGTTTGTAATGTCACTTAGCCCAAATGCTCAATCGGTCCAGATTTTCTGAAATGCTGCACCAAGGATAAGGGGAAATTTCAAATTGCCCACAGCTATTAAGAGTGCTTCATTTCCATAGCAGAAGACAAAATGTGCAGTCACTCTGCAGCAGGTTCCTACACCCCCCACCGCCCCCCGTTGGACTGCTACTGTGGAGGCAATTTTTGCCTTAAGCCTAACTTGGGAACAGTAAGTCTTAAAGTAGAAATATAAGTTGCGTTGTCCTGATTTTACTGACCAGAAGTTGAAGTTAGAAGGCCTTATATAAGCACAGGGGTTCGCAACTGCATTTGTCTATGGGTTTGCGAACACTATATTCTCCCGCTCGTATAGTGGGTGGTCAATTCTCTTATTCTATATGCGTCACTACCTCCCATGTGCTGAACATTCAATCAAAGCCTTTCCGCACCTTCTTTCGTGCTTTATGACAAGTATTTAAAGGATGGTGATCAATGTGGCTGAGATTTATAAGCGGCAGCTGCACTCAGAAAACTTGCAAAAGTTGATTCTATTTAAATTGTGGACCAAGGAAAGTGACTCTCCTCTCCTCAACCCCCCCCACCCCTCCCCTCCCCCCAAAATAAAGTACTACATGGGAGGTTTGATGCAGGTTATCGTCCAAATGCATCTCAATTTTTTTTAAAATCAATTTTAACCTCGATGGATTTTCTCATGCCTTTCAATGGTAGGTAGGGTTGTTATTTTCTTGAATTTTAACCTTTGGTGCTGTGGGATTTAATTTTCTTACCTGTTATGTGGATTGAGGCAACGTTTGCAGAAAAGATGACTTCACATATCCAAATGAAGAAACTAAACCAAGAACTACCACTGAAATAAGCCATGTTTGATGTAGCGATGTGCAAACAATAAATAGGTTACACATTTGTTTATTGTACTACTTTATTTCATCATTAGTTTAACCAAAACGTAAGATCTGAAGCAGGAGAAATGTGTATCTAAAGTTTAATCAGTCAATTCCTTTGCACAATTCTCAGCCCCATCTACGACCGCAAACAAACTTATCCGATTTGCTTAAGCTCCACTCCACCACCCGCTCCCTCTACTTCACTGGCTCCTATTCGCCCCTTTCCCCCCCACCCCTCCCCCACCTTCCGCTTCACCATCGGTGGCCATGCCTTCAGCCACTACGCCCCGAAGCTCTGGAACTCCCTCGATTCCTCCGCCTTGCCCCCTCCCTCCACATTTTCAAATCCTGTTTAAAGACCTTCCTTTTTGATTGTGCTTACGGTCACCTCCCCCCCCCCCCCCCCCTTCCTCGCCCCCCAAAGAAAGTGGACCCCAATCTGACCGGCAGGTTAAGTCCACAGTAAGTTCAAGAACTCTAACCACTGAGCCACAGGACTCCACTGTTATTGCAGAAGAGGTGGGACACATCCCTCTGAGCCCAACTTCCGATTGGTCTGGATGAAGAACTTCAGTCGGGTGTCTGGCACACGTGGAAACCCATCACCATTGCTTAAGAGTATCCAAACCAAGCTGCGAATTCCATGCATCTCATTTATACATTGGAAATCTCAGAGGTAGATTGTTGGAATGGAATGCGTAGATCTCTCTCCCTGAAGAGACACATCCCACTTACCTCATTCAAAAAAGTATTAGGCGCAGGTTGGCAAGAGCCAAGGATTGGGGACCCCAGAGTGTGCGCTTGGCTACTGCTGGAGTCTAACCAGCAAAAAGCACATAGCTTATCATTGCCAGCAGGCTCTTTGGCCCATCTGATCACATCCTTCCGACACACACACCCTCCCGCCTCATCCCCATCCCCCCATCACTGCATCAATCTGCTTTGTCAATGGGTCCAGTTTCTGGCCTCTACCACCTTTCCTAGCAACCTGTTCCAGTCATTGATTACCTTTTATGTAAAGAAACGTCCTGTTACATGTTGCAAAATTGCCCTTTACAACTCTAAACCTCTTGATCCTCTTGATCTACTGTCACAATACATCCTCACGTAATAATCTGGGTTTACTTTTTCAATCCCATTTAAAATGTTGTATGTCATCATGAGATCCCCTCCGAGTCATCCTGTATCAAGATGGAAGATCTCTAGCGTGTCTAGTCGTTGCCCATAGCTTGGTTACTAAAGTGACCCGCTCTAACTATACACATTCTGGACCCCTTGGCACTCATTCATGTATCCAGCGATTGGAATCCACCGCGATTAGTTTGCAGGGAAATAAACAACAACAGCAACAACAAATGACACTTGTATAGCGTCCTTTACGTCAGAAAGATGGACGAATGAAACGTAGGACACAACACGTGCTGTGCCACTGTGCTGCTTGTGAAGGGAAAGAGATCAAGGTTCACCGATGAATTCTGGAATGTTTGTTTGTTTATTGACTTTACAATCGCGGAGCCTTGACCCAAGAAATGGAGAAGCCCATATTCGGTGTGGTTCTCCAGCAGGAGTGGGCTTGTTCAGTCGAATGGCCTTTACCTGTTCCATGCTTTCCTATATTCCTATTGTACCGCCGTCGATACGTTTCGAACCATTATTGCAATAGAATCCAATCTAATTCGCCGCAGTGCTTCCCGGTGGCCAGAATAGATATGGCAGGAGACGTTGGGGGAAATTATTTTGGATGTTACCAACAGCAAACTATAATATTTTTGTACAATGCAATACCAATTGATATTTATGCACCACCTTTCCTCGCTTGACAACCCGAGCGGGCGGTGGGAGCCAAGGTGGTGGGACGGGGAAAGATGACCGAAAGTACAAGTGAACAGAGAAGTCTTGAGACGAACCTTAGAAGAGGTAAGGGAGGAAGGGAAGGAGTTGGAGGGGCTCTGGGATGGAGTTCCAGAGAGTCGGGGTAGATAGGCTAAAAACCCAACCATGGACGTGGAATGGGTCGGTGACCATTCCTCCTGGAAGGGGGTTGGGGGGGGGGGATAAGTATGGTCTCCTTGGAACTGAACTGGCTCCAGGATGACATGTTTGGCAATGTCGGAAATCGAGCGAGCCCTCTGAGGTGGTCTCTGTATTCTGGTACCTGAGTCAGGTGAGTCCACAGTATTCCAGGGCACTGCTGGCTCATCGGCGGGACCTGGAAGTTCAGACCACTCACTAGAGTGGGGGGGGGTAGAAGGGTGGCCGAAGGTGTGGTCGAAGAGGAGGGTCTTGAGACTCGCCTTGAAGGAGGCAAGAGAGTGAACGAGACGAAGGGAATGTGGGATGGAGTTCCAGAGGGTGGGGGGCAGAGAGGCTGAAGCCCCAACCGCCGACGGTGGGGCGAACCGGGCAGGGTGAAGTGAAGTGGAGCAGCTGGAGTCTGCCGTGGAGAGGGAGTGGACAGGTTGACATGGAGTCAGAAGGTCGCAGAGGTAGGAAGGAGCAAGGCCATGGAGGGCCTTGACGGAGAGGACGAGGATTTTGAACTCTATCCTCTGGGGAATGGGGAGCCAGGCGAGGGTGGGGGTGATAGGGTCACAGAGCCTGGTGCGGGAGAGGACGCAAGCTGAAGAGTTCTGGATGATCTGCAGCTTGTGGAGGGAAGAGTTGGGAAGGCCAACAAGGAGGGATTGCATAGATTGTTATAATGGCCTCACCTCATCTGTGCAGATGTTTATGCTCCACACCAGCCTTTACCCCCTCGAATTCCCCTCTCATTGGCTCAATTGCTGGTATTCTCGAGGAAAGTTGTTGGGTAAAGCTCCATCGTCAGAGCTGTTGTCCTTCACAAGTGGATATTGAAAAAGTGTTTGCTATCAAATGGAAGGATTATTATTTTTAAGAATCCTATTAGGTCAATCCTTCACCAGCATCTGAGCTGCTGCGAAAATGCCCTCCTAAATCTCTCCTACATAAGTAGCCATTAGGACTATTCTCCTCATTCACAGATTCATGCGATTTAATGCAAATACATCTGCGACAATTTTGCTAAGCACTGCACGAGTCAGTCATAAAGCAAATGACAACAACAATGTATTGAAATAGCTTGTAATTTACCTGTCACATATACTCAGGATTTATTAAACCTGAATAGTATTGATCACTCATTGTATAAAATATTATAATTTTTATTCAGACCAGCCAGTGCAACCCTCCCCCCCCCACCCCCACACACCCCTTAAGCGAGACACAGAATCTTTTGGCCAGAAACATTGAATTTTTGTTTCCATGGATTCTGACTGCTCCACTTAAGCAATATATGAAACAAGAGAGATGTGTTTCTGTTACTGTGCGGTACTGTTTGCAGCGTTTCACGCAGTTTGATATATCTTGGGTCCCTGCAGTATTTTTAGCTTCGAAAAGCTAACAGCAACCTCACCCACTGCAGCATCCTGAAAGACTAACACGCTCCAGAACAACAGGTATTTATACCCAAAATAAATGGCAAATGCTGCTCGTGTGCACTGGATATGGAGGTAGGGAATGTTTCAGAGAATGACTGGTTGCGGCTTAGCTCAGTGTATCAGCCTTTTCTGGAGTGTCCTGGTTCTGTAATTCCACGTTTCCTTTCCTGGCATTAATTCCGACTTGTTTGTTGGTGAAAAAATAGTATTATTAAAATACTCCCAATCGTCTGTCCTAATAGGGGGGGGGGGGGGGGGGGAGATAAAGAGAGAGAGAGAGAGAGTGTGTGTGAGAGAGAAAAAAAAAGTAGAACGACTCAGAAACACAGACACTTCACTCAGCCTGAAAGACAGCGAAAGTATGAAACAGAAAATATTGTTTGCCACAGCCAGTGATGGCCGGTGGATAGAGGTCCTTTCTCCCCTCCTCCGTAGCAACCCATGCATTTTCAATAAGTATGAACAGATTAGAAATACTGTGAAATATTGCTGAAGGATGGTCATGTATTATTTCGTAAGGATTCAACAAAAGGTTAAATGCCGGTTGCGTTTGCCAACTGATGCTACCACTAGGTGGCAAACATTCTCCCAACACTTCACAATGTACTGTGCGCTGCGTTGAGAAAATTGAAACTTTCTGCTCATTGTTCGTTTACAAGACGCTTTCTTTTCTTTTTGGTCAGCCGGGTGTCTGACACGCACGGAAACCCATCGCCGTTGCTTAAGAGCATCCGAACCAAGCTGAGGATTCCCACCCATCCCGCCTACACGTGGAAATCCCAGAGATAGTTTGTCGGAATGGATTGCGCGCGCTCTCTCTCTCTCTCTTTCTCTCTCTCTCGCGCGCGCTCAGCTCCACAGATCAAGCTTGCCTACAGTTTGCTGAGAATGTGTATGGCTGGTGTGAGAAATGGAAATACAGTACTCTATTCACAATGTTGCAGCGAGGAATGTGCTTCTGAGACTGCGGTGAAGACATGTTGCTGGTGCAGAATACAGTGAGTTTTGTGCTATATCTAACTCCAGCTTGCTTGATACTAACCCAGAGCAAAATTGATGGGATGATGTCCCATTCCCCAGTATTGGCATCTCTCCTTCAAGAACGCCAATGCCTTATTCACCAAAAGTATTAACAAAAGGTACAGCCTATTAATAAATGAAAATGGCATTGCTGGTAGATGAGGTGCGTGCACAGAGTTGGGAGAAATAGAGTTGGGAGTAGGTCTCTTTCATGACCACTTGACTTAACCTGTGTTTAGTTTTCAAATGTTTACGCATTATCTTGGGTATGGAACAACTGTGCATCTTTACCTCAGGGAAGTTCAAGTTGAGCCAATAGGAAGGAGAACTTTTATTTTTTTTGAAAACCGTAAAAAGAGTTAGAAAAAAACTGATTTCTTGTTTCTGATCTAGACTCAAATGAAAGTAGTCAAATAAAGTGGGAGAGAGAGCGAGAGAGAGAATAAGGAAAAGACAGGACAAGCAGAAATAAAGTGTTTGTGCCAGTTGGGTAACATTATCGCTCTAATATTAATTTGTTTTATTACAGTGTGCATCAGCTG